TTGATGGCACCTAACAACAACAACAACAACATTTAATCTGTATGTCAAGCAAATAATCCAGAAGCTGGATTATATGAAGAACATGGTAATATGCAGATGATACAATCTTGCTTGCTGAAAGTGAAGAGGGTATAACGTACTCACTGATGAAGTTTATAGATGGCTGCCTTCAGTATGGATTGCACCTCAGTGTAAAGAACACAAAAATCCTCACAAATATACTAATAAATAACATTATGATAAATGGATAAAAGATTGACATTGTTAAGGATTTCATTTTGCTTGGATCCACAATCAAAACTCACACAAGAAGCAGTCAAGAAACCAAATAACATATTTGGCTAACCTGTTGCACAATACCTATTTAAAGAGCAAAGGTACCAGTTTGAAGACTAAGCTGGGCCTGACTGAAGCCATGGTATTTTCAATTGCTTCTTATACATGTGAAAGGCTGAAAATGAATATGGAAGACTGTAGAATAATTGATGTATTTGAGTTATGGTTTTGGGGATGAATATTTAATATACCATGAACTGTCAGAAAAACAATTAAATCTGTATTTGAAGAGGTACAGCTAGAATGCTCCTTAGAAGCCAGCATGGCAAGACTTTATCTTTCATACTTCAGATATGTTATCAGCAGAGAACAATGCCTTGAGAAGGACATCATGCCTGGTAACGTGGAGGCTCAATGAAAAAGAAAACGATCTCAGTGAGATGGACAGACAGAACGGCAGCTGCAATAGATTCAAATGCAACAACTGTGATAATGATGTAGGACTAAGTGGTGTTTTGTTCTGTTGTATACAGGGCCGTTATGAATCAGAGTGGACTTAATTACACCTAAGAACAATAACTAAAAATTGGAAGTGGATAAGAACTTTCCCTCAGATGCTGATATATCATTTGGCAGTTGCCAAAACATATTTCGCTGACAATCATCTTAATGGCTCCAGAGTTGTGCATATATAATTAGGACCACAGACACTATTGAGAAGGAAAATTATGAGCACTTTGAGGTTACCAAAATTTTCTTCTCTCTACTTTTAGACTTTTATTTTTTTACTCATTTCAGCATATTTTAAATGTTCCAATATTTTCTACTCTATCACATTTTTAAGTAGAATAGCAACAACTGCATAAAATGCAAGGTGTTACTTTCTGCTTGTTTGCACAAGCAATGTCAAAGTTAAGTAAGGATTTGTCAAATGTACCTTCAAACATTCACTCCAGAATGGATTCTGAAAGATTATTTGACTGAAAATAGAGAGATAATTTGAAAAATCACAGATTTCTTGGTGATTTGGATTGCAAACATTTTGTGACACAAAGATGTATTGAAACATTATCCACAATAACCCAAATGTGTAAACAACTCAAGTGCCCATCAACAGATGAAAGGGCAATCAAAATGTGGTCTAGTCATACAATGAAATAGCATTTATCCATAAAGGAAAATGACTTCTAAGACATGCTACAACATAGATGAACCTTGAAAATATAATGCTGAATGAACATTGTATTATCTCATGAGCTGAAATATCTAGAGTGTCATGCACAGAAACAAAAATTACTTATTGGCTCACAAAGATAGGTGGGTGGGATGAATGAATTATTACTTAAGTGGTATTGAGTTTCCATTTGGGATGATGAATAATATTTGGAAACAGATAATGGTGATGATTCTATGGCATTCAAATGTCATTGAGTTGTACAGCTAAAAATGACTAAAATGGTAGCTGGATGCCATCCAATTCTTCCAGTCTCATGGCAATGGAGGTAGTTATTCATGGAAGCAATTAGCCACATGTTCCATTCTATCTTCCTATTCCTCACTCTCCTGCTTCCTTGGTTGCTGCAGATGAATAGAGACCGATTCTTATACCTTGGAGAGATGCTTTCAAGCCTTCAAGAACACAGAAACCACAAAAAGAACAAGGAACTGGAGTCACTAAACGTGACAACAGGCCAATTCACTGGGATATCCCATGAAACCATGAACTGAATGGTGTCTGGCTATTGTTACTGAACTTTTTATTGAAATTCTATAGAAGATTAGATATTCTGATCACAAGCTAGAAATTGTAGTAAAGAATTTCAAATTCCCAAGGAAATCAGACTTTCTGAAGCCATGGAAGCTGGATGAACCTCCAAAAGATAACTTTTTAATATCATGCCTTAAACCAAAAATAATTCCCAGTGCTTTCTTAAAATCAAATAATAGTTTAGCTAAATTAGTAAAGTATGTTTGCTTAGAACATTGTTTTCTTTTAATAACTATCTATCTGGGATCAAATTGACAACAGCAATTTGATTCACTAGGAAAATCCTAAAGATAAGGAAGGAAATTTAGGAAGTTTATGTTAAAAACATAGTAAGAGTTATGTTAATGGGGGAGGAAGAAATTTAAAAGGAGGGTGATAATGCTTGCACTCCTTTAAGCATGTAGTCAATGTCACTAAACTGTGCTAGTGAAATTGTAAAATTAGTGTATGTAATCCTGTGTAGATCTTCAACAACAGTCAAAATAATGTACACAATTTTAAAAATAGTTAAAATGGGTATTTTTGTTATTTTGTAAAAAAATTATTTAGAAAATATTTCTTTTGAGAAAAAATGGGAGAAGTCCTGTGTTTCTTACTGCAAACAGACTTATGACAGTTTTGTGCCGTTTTGCATACTTGAAGAGATAATTAAAATCCAAGAAAAAAATAATACTTCTGTTTTTATTTTTTCTGCAATTTTCTAATCCAAGATTAATTCAAATATTTCTCTATTTTAATCAGCAATACAAACAAAACTTATTGTTACAATTGAAGTTCAAATTTAACCTGCTTTCAGCTGATCTTTCTGTTCCTTTCTCTACAGATTCTCACCATAGTTCTCTCATTCCCCTGCCACTGAAGGAGTGCAGAATCAGCCTCAAAGTTATCTGAAACACTATGAGAGGACAGCATTCTCTAAATCCTCGCTAGGGTCTTTTCTTGTATCCATGTTGTTTTTATGAGCTACGTACGATGTCAGGGACCACTAAGAGCTGAGCAGGTATAATTAACATAATGATATTTATTGATCATACCTTAAGAATCTTACACATAATCTCATAAATGGAAAATGTTTTCTCAGCACGGGTCCAATCCCAGGTGGTCACCTTTAAAGATAGAAAATATTTCATTAATTTTAGACAAATAGCCCATATATTCGTTATTTTACTTGTATAATACGGTACATCCCAAGTTGAACATTCATTGGTATATCTATTTAGCTGTGTGATAGTTAAAATTTTCTCTCAAATTGACTGGGCCAGGATTCTCAAAGGTTTGGCAGTTAAGATGTAGCAGTGCCTCAAGATAATATCTACTATAATGTAACCAAAATCATGATGAAATCAGCTGTGGGCAGATAATCAATTGAATGTCAGTGTCCTCATGGGTGTGGCCTGCTTCCAATATATATGACACTCAGGCAGTTTGCTTGGTTTCTTCTAGGTCTGGATAATGCATCTGGCTTATCTGGCCTCGAGTCAGTGACCTGCTCTATTGCCGGCTGATGGATCCCAGGAGTTGTCAGTAGCCTGCCATCTCACATGCCAGCCTGCTACATACTTCTGATCTTGGCTTATTTGACCAACAGATTTGGGACTTGTCCACCTCAACAACTATGTGAGATACTTCCTTGATATAAACTTCTCTATATGTATACATGGAGTCCCCCTGGTGTGGCACTGTGGGTTAATGCACCAAACTGTAAGGCCATTTGAACAGCAAGGTCAGTGGTTCAAGCTCACCAGCTGTTCCTAGGAAACCCAACACAGGGTCACTACGGGTTGGAATTGACTCAACAACACTTAACAGCAACAAAAACAGTATGTATACATATGGAAACCTCACTGGTTTTGCTTCTCAAGTGAAACCAGCCTAAGTCATTTGGTACCAAGAACGATTCTAGAAGTTTAGGGAGACTTGTGAACTCCTGAACCCATGAACACTGACCTAACTATTGAAGGCTAGAATTTACAGTGAAGGGGCCAGCTTGTCTGAAGTGGGGGAAGGTGTGCAAGGGAACCCAAATTTACAGATGGTACCCATTTGACTTAGCTCAGATGGCTTGCTGATCAAAACTCATCCAGAAAAGATAAAGAAATTTGATACAGGAAGCAAGTATACATTGCTACAATTTGATGAACTGTACCTTTGCTTATGGATGTAGTTGCTCAAAATTCCAACTGAAAGAGAATGATTCTTTATATTAAGGATCAAGTCTGCCCCCTTAGTACACAGGGTTTATAGGGATGGGTAACTTAGACATTGGTTAACAAAAATGGGGGCTATAAAGGCACAATGTGACTGTCTTATAATCTTTCAATCATGTGCATAATTTCAAAATGAGGGAGGTAAGGTAGAATCTCCACTGCATAGCTTTCTACTTGTCTAGATGGGTCTGGTGAAATGGGATGGGGGAGGATGGAGATAGGATTCTTTTGATTCAATTGTGAGTACTTGTTATCATGACTAATTGCAACTGTCACAATTGTAAATGTAAGAGATATGAAACAAAAATGGGGAGTAGTTAAGCTTTCATTCCAGGAACAGAGGACCCTAGAACCAGCAAGAGGGAAGTGCATGAGTGAAGTGTGGAATCCTATCCAGAAAAGTGGTGACAACAGAGATGTAAGCAGACGTGATGGCATGGAGAGATGGAGCATCTGAGGACTCTAGACCTCAGAGAAAAGTTGTGCCTGTAGGCAGGAAACTGGCTTGCAAAATGCACCCTCTAGACATTGAAATGAATATATATTTTCTGTGTGTTTTGTGTATATCAAAAAAGGGGGCGGTTAGGGGATAGAGGTAAATACTGTTAATCGATGGTACATGGAGAGGACTGTAATCATTGTAATAAAACAATATATGATTTGATGCATGTAAAACTGATGATCTGCCCTGAAAACTATCAATAAATTCATACATATACACAAAAGAGTAGTTCTAGAGAAACACAATCATAAATATGAGTTTTCTAAACAGGATTTCAAGTGTAACTAATTTTAAAGGCACTAATAACAATAACTCTGTGTACACTAGTAAAGAGGGTTTGTTGTAAGTATTATTGAGTTGGTTCCATTTCACAGTGACCCTCTGTAGGGTTTCTGAGGAGTGGCAGGTGAGTTTGAACCACTTGCAGTTCAAACTGACCTTTCAATCCAATGCATTATCCTGTGGTGCCACATGACTGCTGTTGCTAACCCATGGCATGAGATGGTAATATTAACACAAAAATATCACCACCAATAGATAATGTGTTGCAGTAAGGAGATACTTTTCTGCAATTTTGTCAGGATGAGAAGTATAGAGGATCTGGTTGACTGGTTCAGCTTACAACAGACCAAGTGATAAAGGGAAGAGTTTAACTCGAGGCGAAGGCATCATAGCTCAACCACCACATATAAGACCTCAAAATTTCTACTTGTAACCTGAAGGAAAGTCTTCTTTCTTATAACGACAGAGCTGATTTTTCTAAAAAAAACAAAACCCAAAGTCTATTGTAAGAGTGGCTGAATGATGGCAGCTGAATTCCCAATCTCTAAGGAGCTCTGGTAGCGTAGTGGGCTGTCAACCTCAAGGTCAGCAGTTTGAAATTACCAGTGGTTCCATGGGAGACAGATGAGGCGTTCTGCTCCTGTAAAGATCTGTAGCCTAGGAAACCCAGTGAAGGGTCACTATGAGTTGGAACTGACTCCAAGGAACTTAACAACAACAACAACAATGGTATCTGATGATAAATTTTAGGTGTTTATTAGGAAGAAATGGATCCTGAAACTAGATTGGGATATTTGGGCAGATTATCAGTTAGCTGGGGATACAGAACTCTTAAATTCTGTTACATCGCTTCTGTCAACAGTACCAGCCCCCCTAGTCTCGTGTGTTGAAATTAACAAAAGCATGCCAGATGAGTCATGGCCTAAGATATCATTTGATGAATTATCTGGGGACTTACCTGAGGCAGATGCCTTGCAAAACATTACTGAATATTCCCAGGAAATACAACCATTACTCATCATTAATTCTAGTCCTACAACTAGACTTAAGCAACAACAACAGCTACCCCCAAAAGGTGAAGTGCAAATTGTGACTCAGGAAGAAGTGTGATACACTCCAAAATACCTGCTTGATTTTTCTAATAAGTACAAGAAAAATCTTAAGATTATGTATGGGAACAGCTATTAATAGTGTGGCATAACAGTGCAAGGTATATAAAATTGGAGTGTATTTGATATAGGCAAACTAAACACAGATTTTTCATTCAATGTTTCAGCTCAACAGTTATGAGAGAATCTTCTAATAGTTGATTTGCTCAATATATTCACTGAAGCATATATTTACCAGAGGCCTACAACAAGTAAAGTTATAAAACCAAATCTACCTTTGTATATTGTAGAAGACAGTATCCAAAGAATTAGGAAAATGGGCATGCTAAAGTGGACTTATGAAGCTAGACCCAAAGACTCACACATAGACTTCCCAGAGAACACAGCTTTTACGATAGTGAGGAATAAGTGAATGAAGGGAGTGCTAGTCTCCTTGAAGACTGTGCTTGTTAATTTTTGTAAATCATATTTGAGTTTAGGAACTGCCATTAATTGAATTAAGACTTTTAACTACTATGGGGTTGAACCAGTGGCAGGAACCAGTGGCAACACTTAATCAACAAAGATGTAGCTGTTGTGGTTATTGTAATGGACAGCAAAACCAATGTAGTAATCAGAATATTCTGACTTGTGTGGATTTATGGTACTGGCTACCTAGGAAGGATATCCTTACGAGTTAAATAGATGGGAAACCTAATCAATATTAACTTGAATGTAATGTGTCCTTTGGACCCAGAGATCCCTGGACACGAACCTCTTTAATCCAGAGACAGAAAGCAGTGACATCAGAGATGATAGAGGAGCAGCAACAGGGCAAAGAGAGAATGAGAAGAAACACTGTGATTTCCAACCTATAGAGCAGTAAAGCTGAGTGACTTTGGAAAGGAAATTTGCTTACACACCAGGGTGTCTCCAGGTTCTTAATTAGAGTAGCTATATTTATTGCTTCTAACTGTAGAACTAGAGCGAGTGCCTTCAGGCTGAGGCTCATGGTGGAATGGTGTGCCTAGTCAGAATTTATTCGTCATCCTAAAAGAACTTAATATCATTGGCCTGGCAGATAGAGGCCAGCATGTGGACACATTAGAGGAGAGGCTGTCCAGACTGGAAGAACTGTGTCCTCAACATCTCTGACCCTGTATTATAACCTGTTAACTTCTCTAATAAAATCCTTAACTATGAGCATTGTAAAAGTGATAGTTTAAGGTTTGTGTCAATTTGATTGGGCCAGGATTCTATATCATTTGGAAGTTTATTGTTGTTGTTAGCTGGCATAGAGTTAGGTCTGACTCATAGCAACCCTATGCACAACAGAAGGAACACTGCCAGGGTTAGCACCACCCTGACAATTGTTGTTACATGTGAGCTCCTGGCTGCTGCCACTATGTCAATCCATCTCATTAGGAGGTCTTCCCCTTTTTGTTGACCCTCCACTTTACCAAGCATGATGGTATTATCCAAGGATCATTCCTTCCTGAGAACATGACTGAAATATGAAATCTGATTATACTGGCTTCTAAGGAGTAATCTAGTTGTACTTCTTGCAACACAGATTTGTTTTTCTAGCATTCCATGGTATTTTTATTATAGTACTCCAATACCAAAATTGAAAGGCATGTATTTGTGTAAAGTCTTCCTGATTCACTGCCCAACTTCCATATGCATATGAGGTGGTTGAAAATACCATGGCTGAGGCAGGGCTTGATGGTAGCAAGGGTGGAGGTGCAGTGAGGTCCACCATCAGCGATACCACAGAATACGAGGAAAAGGAGATTTAGGGCAGAGTTTCAAAACTCATAACCACATAGGTAGGAATATTTTTAAAAATTTGAAGGCTTATAGTTGGTAGAACTTGTA